GGACGGCTGGAGGCGGGGTCAGGAAGTTGTGCCTGGGCTGGAGGCGGGGCTACGACGTCGGCCTAGAAGCCGGGGCAGGGCCAAAAGTTGTCGGGCGAGCTAGAGGCGGGGCTAGGACGCTCACAAAGCGCCATAGGGGCGGGGCCAGAAAGTTTGCCTGAGTTGCAGAGGTGTGAAGGAACGCTGGCCAACAAGCCCGGAGCGGAGCAAGAGGTTGACGCGAAAGTGAGGGCGGGGCCGGGATGAAGCAAGAAAGTTAGGAGCCGAGGTCAGGTGCTGGTGGGCATGCTGAGGGCGAGGCCAGAAAGTTTTGTCTAAGCCAGGGGCGTGGTCAGAGTGTTGGCAGGAAAGCCAGAGTGGCGCCTGGACTTAAGCTGGCGAATGAGGGGCGGGGCCAGGTATGACAAGAGGAGGCGGGGTGACGGCGAGTGGGCGTGGCCATGTGATTGGCTGGGTAAGTCGGAGCCTGGCCTAGGGCGCTGCCTGGGGAAGCTAGGGGCGGGGCCAGAAGAATAACGTGAGAAGCCGGGGGCGGCTTCCGGATGTGGCTCGGGGAGACTGGGAGCGGGGCCAGGATGTTGGCTGCGGAAAGTCGGAAGCGGGACCAGATGGATGATGTGAGGTTGGGGGTGGGCTAGAGAGTTGTGTCGCAGGCGGAGCCGTGGTAGTCTCCGTTGGATCTGCCCTGGACCTTTTTTTCTGGAAACCTAAGTTGGGCCCAGAAAGTTTTGTTCGCGCCAGGGAAGGGTAGAATGGTCGAGCCCAGGAAGCCTCACCAGTGGCTACTGGGCTCATTCCCGAATGTTTACGAGGGTGGGAGGCGGGGGCAGCACCGTTCTTAGGATGCTGGGGATAGGGCTAGAGCATCCCTGAGGGAGGGCCGGGTTTAGAATGTTATGTTCTCTTTGGGTCGTGGCAGCAAGGAGGAGTGGGATTCGAACATTTTTTGTTGGAAGGTTAGAGGACAGTTCAGAATCGTCGCTGTGAGAGAAGGGCGGGGCTAGAATGTTTCCCTGGCTGTAACTGTGACCAGAATGGGTACCAGCTGGGGAAGCTAGAACGTTCATGTTTGAGGGGGAAAGGGACAGTGTATCATAAGCTCTCCTGAGAAGAGAATTTGGGCCGAAACCCCAACCACAGATGTGTGGAGGCTGGACTGGAATGTTCCTTTGGATGGGAGAGGGTTGGGATGCTTCCTTGAATAGTGGAGCGGACCCAGAACATTCCCAAGGTGGGTGTGAGGATGCTTACTTCGGCGGGGCTG